TATGAGCATTGCCATTTTACTGATGAGAAAACGGGAGCACAGAACAGCTTCCCCAAGGTCACACGGTAACAGAGCCAGGACTTCAACTCAGGCTGGCTCTAGGCCAGGTGTTATTACATTTTACTGCCTCTCAATCTTTATGATGCTCTGTAAGGAGATGTAGAGGGATAAGGAGAATCTTTTGTAGAACTCAGAGGGCACCGCTTAGCTCTTGGCAAAAGACTTAAGTGATCAAAATTGCAGATATGTTCCATTTTCCCTTTAAAAAGGGGCAAGGGTTGAAAATTTGACTTTCTCTGGAAGGGAAACACCCTGTGGAGGAAGTATTTTGAAACGCAGCTTCGACCGTAGTTTCTTTGTTCTGTGACTTTGTTGCCGAAGGACAATGAAAAGGTGTCGCCCGGAAAAAAACCTCATTCTGCGTGTTTAAACTTAGCGATAGAATTTTCTCATCTGTTTAAACATTGTCCGAGCACAGTGGTTTGAAATCCATCTGTTAGAGACGTAGTGATGTGCCCTCTTTAGTTTAATTTGCAAAAGCCTCGGGTTTGATTATCAGGGAAGATGAAAATTTATGAGCTGGATGTCAAGAAAATAGTCAATTTGTATGACTGGTGAATGGAATTGGAGAAGTGTGATTTATCATAGCCATTGAGTGATACCCTGCTTTTACGCAGATCTCTAATCTAGGAGTTATATTTTTTGTTGTTTTTTGTGTTTTTTTTTTTACATTTATTTATTTTTGAGAGAGAGAGTAGAGGACAGTGTGAGTGGAGGAAGGGCAGAGAGAGAAGGAGACATAGAATCCCAAGCAGGCTCCAGGCTCTGAACTGTCAGCAAAGAGTCTGATGCGGAGCTCGAACCCAGAAACCGTGTCATCATAACCTGAGCCAAAGTCTCATGACCTGAGTGAACACGCTTAACCAACTGAGCCACCCAGGAACCCCTCAATTTTTTTTTTAATGTTTATTTATTTTTGATAGAGTCAGAGAGACAGAGAGCACTAGCCAGGGAGGGGCAGAGAGGGAGAGAGACACAGAATCTGAAGCAGGCTCCAGGCTCTGAGCTGTCAGCACAAAGCCCAACACCAGGCTCGAACCCACAAACCGTGAGATCATGACCTGAGCCAAGACGCTTAACTGACTGAGCCACCCAGGCACCTCAGTTTTGGGGGGTTTTTTGTGTGTTTTTTTTTGTTTTGGGTTTTTTTTTTTTTTTTTTTTTTTTTTTTTTTTTTTTTTTTTTTTTTTTTTAGTAGGCTCTATACCCAGCGTGGGGCTTGAACTCACCCCCCGGAGATCAAGATTTGAGTGGTCTATGAACGAAGCCAGCCAGGCGTGTCTCCATTTTTCTTTCAATTCTTCATTTAGACCCTTCAAGTCAAGCCATTAAAACCATACATGGTAATAAACTTAATTTACACAGTAACTTTGAATAGATGTGTTTAAAAAATCATAAAACGGTGCCTTCAAAAAAATGAAACAAATTTTATCAGTTGCTGTCATTACTTTTGTGAAAAACAATAATTTTGCCTTTGTTTTTTTTTGTGTGTGTTGGAAACAATGCATGCAGGGAAAATGCAAATCAAGACCACAGTGAAATATCATTGTATATTCACATGTCTGATAATACCGAGTATAGGAAAGGATGTGGCTCCGCAGTATCTCTCTCTCCCTTTGCTGGCAAAAATGTAATCTGGTGCCAGGACTTTAGCATAATCTCTTAAAGGGTCACCTGCAATCCGAAAATGTGTACATTCACTTAAACTCTGACACTTTTTTTAATGTTTATTTATTTTTGAGACAGAGCATGAGCAGGGAGGGGGCAGAGAGAGAGGGAGACACAATCTGAAGCAGGCTCCAGGCTCTGAGCTGTCAGCACACAGCCCGACGCGGGGCTCGAACTCACGAACTGTGAGATCATGACCTGAGCCGAAGCCCGATGCTTAACCGACTGAGCCACCCAGGCGCCCCTTTAAAAAAAATTTTTTTTAACGTTTGTTCATTTTTGAGAGACACAGAGACAGCGTGTGAATAGGTGAAGGGCAGAGAGAGAGGAAGACACAGAATCCGAAGCAGGCTCCAGGCTCCGAGCTGTCAGCACAGAGCCCGACGCAGGGCTCGAACTCACGAACTGTGAGATCATGACCTGAGCCGAAGTCAGACGCTTAACCGACTGAGCCACCCAGGTGCCCCAAACTCTGACACTTTTTTAGAAGGGTCACAGATGATACCCACACGCTTCAGAAAGACTGGGAAACAACCCAAGTGCCCACCACCAGGAGGGCAGATGAATAAACTGTGCTATTTTCACAGCAATGTGGATGCTTTTAGCAATATAATATGGGGGATTCCTAGAAAATTACACACGCTTTTTTAGTTCTTGAAAAAAACTAAAATTGTGGGGCACCTGGGTGGCTCAGTCGGTTGAGCGACCGACCTCGGCTCAGGTCATGATCTCGCAGTTCGTGGGTTCGAGCCCCGCGTCGGGCTCTGTGCTGACAGCTCCGAGCCTGGAGCCTGCTTCAGATTCTGTGACTCCCCCTCTCTCTACCCCTCCCCTGCCTACACTCTGTGTCTGTCTCTCAATAATAAATAAACGTTAAAAAAATTTTTTTTAATTAAAATTGTGTCTTTTAAGATTACATGCACGTGCAAAAGAACTTACTGAAAAGATAAAGCAAAGGAATGAAGTGTATGGGGTTTAGGTTGACAGCCGTGAAATTGGAGGAGGGGGCCATAGGAGAGACTCTACCTAACACTGACGCTCCCAGCTTTGGGCTCCCTGGTATCTCTTATACCCTAATAAGCCAGGGACCAAACAAGCCACCATTCAAGCCATCAATGAGCAGTAATGACCACGTGTCACGTACCAAGGATTAATCCAATCCTGGGCACCTGAGCTGATGAAACGCCATATAAATATCAAATACAAACACATACACACCCCAGGCACTATAAACGGGGTACCGGCGATCTCCCATCCTTCTGGCTGGGGGCACTTCTCCAGAGGCAACACCACCGTCCCCAGTTTATCCAGTAGCCTCTTGAGACATTCCACCAGACACAATAAAAGTAAGCACATGATAGGTTTTCAAATGGCTTTATGTGTATGTGTAACTACACCCACATCCCAAAGAAAAGTTTAAAGGTCGGGGCACCAGGGTGGCTCAGTGGGTTGGGCATCCGACTGGGACTCAGGTCATGATCTCGCGGTTTGTGGGTTCAAGCCCCTGCCTCAGGCTCTGTGCTGGCAGCTCGGAGGCTGGAGCCTGCTTCGGTTACTGTGTCTCTCTCTCTCTCTCTCTGTCCCTCCCCTGCTCATGCTGTCTCTCTCTGTCTCAAAAATAAACGTAAACATTAAAGAAAGAAAGAAAAGTTTAAAGGTTTAAAAAAAATTGGCTCTATAACTTAATCCCGGGGCACCTGGCTGGCTCAGTCCGTAGAGCACGAGAGTGTTGATCTCTGGGGGGTGAGTTCAAGCCCCACGTTGGGGGTACGGATTGCTTTTCTTTTTTTTAAGTCATAAATAAGTAATTTAACCTTGAGTGACCTCAGCTGGCATTACACAACCATCCCTAAAGTCAATTCAGAACTTGAAAATCAGCGGGAAGTTGGAGAACAGCTCAGTTTTTGAGAAAAGTAAAAATGCTCATCCCGCAGGCCGTACCCCACGATTTGCCAACGGTAACCCCAAGGACACGCGTTACAGGCGGCTGCCGAACCCCACGGGGCCCGCCCTAGCGGGCTTTCACCATCCTCGCTGTTAGAAACGCAGATTCTTAGGCCCCCGTCCCCACGGATTCAGAGCCGAGCCCGGGTCCTTTCTAACGAGGGCCCTCTCGTGATTCGCAGGTTTGGGCAAGCTTAGGGTACAGCCCCGCCTTGAGCAACTCCCCAGTTTGTAGAAAGTAAACACCTGAGCGGTGTAGGTGGCTCTCTTGCTCCCCGTGTTAACCTGATGCAAGGACGGATCCCCCTCGGGTCTCATCAAGGTCCCAGCCAGTCTGAGCTTGAACGCCAATTAGCTCAACACTTCCCCTCCCCAGACCACGCCTCGGTCACCTGCTAGGCAGGCCCACTCCCCTGCTGGCCCCAGGCTTCTCGCGTGTGGTCCTAGACCTGGGGCGCCAGAGTCACCGGACGAGGGTCGGGGTTTGAGGGCGCCGTATAGAAATACAGATTACCGGGCTCCGCCGCCTGAAGCCAAAACTTTCCGAAATCTGCATTTTTAATGAGCTCCTCCATAAAGTGGTTCATCTGCCGTTGGAGACTCTCTGGCCTCATTTAAATTTCAAATGCGAATATGCTGGAGGTCGAGCTTCTCAGCCTTGGCTGCACGTCAGAATAACCTGGGGAGCTTAAGAAAAAAATATATATATGTACACTAATGCCTAGGCTTCAGCCCAGACCAATTAAGTCAGAATCTAAGAGCACGGCCTGTGCAGCCGCAGCGGCAGTGGTTACCACCTGGGAGCTCGTTAGAAATACCGAAGCTCAGGCCCCACCCCAGACCCACTGAGTCAGAATCTGCATTTTAACGAGATCCCCAGTGATTCGTGCGCGCAGGAAAGTTGGAGGCGAGCTGTGCTTCTGAAATTTTAATGGGCAAGCGAATCACCTGGGGATCTCGTTAAAATGCAGACACGGTCTCTGCAACTTTAATGTGCATGCGAATCACCTGGGGAGCTTGTTAAAATGCAGATTCTGATTCGGCGGTCTGGGGTGGAGCCCGAGAGTCTGCATTTCTAACGAGCTCTCGGGTGGTGTGGGCTGCAGCGGCGCGGTCCGCTCTTCCCCGGGACCCCCCGAGGCCTTGGCGCCGGGCCAATCAGCCGTCAGGGTTCTTGATAAATCGCCCTGCTCGGCCCAGGCGCAAAATTGCCGGGACATGCGCGCTCCGGTCGCGGGGTTGGGGGGAAATTTCCGAACTCCGGGAAGCGGTCGTGGGAGAGGCGGGCCACTGGCGTGCGCGGCGCCGGGGGCCGCGATCCGCTCGCCATGTCGCGGCGCAAACAGGCCAAGCCCCAGCACCTGAACTCGGAGGAGCCGCAGCCCGCGCGCCCGGGGGTCGCCGACGCTGCCCCCGAGGGGGTGGGGCTGTTGGGTGAGTAGCGCT